CCTATCCTATCTCGAATCGTCATGGAAAATGAAAATAGTGACTTTCATGTAAATGCAAATGTTCCGTCGATAAAGTTGAAAAAATGATGTTAGCTTTAAAAGCTATTTTGAGCTTTGAAGAAAGTCTAATTGGTTGTGCTTTTCCAGACATGCCGACTGAGCTGCTTAATGGATTTCGCATAACTTGTAACCCTTCACTTGGTATTTACTTCTCTCTCTCTTTCTCTCTCTACGTCATTTTCAGTCTCCACAGCATTCTCTTATGCGCATCTCGACATAATTTTTAGGTGACTATCGTTAGACTGGTTGTCAACATTGCGTTTCTCAATACATTCGCTCAGTAGTATCTGTATTTCGGTTCACCGTTACCTGTACCAACGTCACTTTTGACAATGTGCTCGCGTCCAGTCGCTAAGTCCATTTATTTGCTTGTCTGTCCTCCCTCGGGGCACCACAGCAAATGGATTCGGGCAACTACGATGGGTGGGTGCAGATTTCTCGCCAAGACGCCTTCGACTTTGACCAACCTGAGGGCGATTCTGCTCGACTCTCGCCAGTGGCCAATGGTGCCGGAGACCGATGGCTCTCTGACCGAATGGGCTCATGTCAGGAGGAAGCTGGAGCGTCGACAAATGCCAACAAGTCGTCAGCGCCGACGACACCTCGACGCCGAAGTGGTTCAACTGCAGCCAGTTTTCCGCCCTATTTGATCGAATCGGGCCAGGCGCTGGAGATCGGTGAAGAGGCAGGACCGGTACGCGACATCGACTCAGGCCTTGGCCTCGAACAGTCCCATTTCTGCACTCGTCCGGCCAGATTAGCCAAACCGGCTGCCACTTCTGCTCTCCAGATTGACGCGGAGGCATCTTCAGCCGGCGTCGACATGGCCGCCACCAGAAATGTGGAACTTGGAGCCGAAAGCAGGCGTGCGTCGCGCACAAGTGTACTGACCGACACCCATAGTTTACCTGACTTTGATCGCCTCTTCGGAAAGGATCACAATGTAACCACAAAGATGTGCAATTGTAAGAAAAACAACACCATCACAGCAGGCATCTGTGGGCTCAGCATTTTTGCAGGTAGATAACGTACCATGAAATTTACTTCTCGGCCACACATCGGTATAGCTTTTTTAGTTTTAAGACTTTTGACAATTCGCATGAATCACGAAAATTTATCCTTTTCCATACCATGTTTTAATTAATTGACTTAATTTATTCATTTTCATTTTCTGATACATTACTTTTGACTCTATTTCGTCAAGCCAACCATGCTGGCTATTTTATAGGAATAATATCTGTCTTTTGTGTTTTCCTCTGCTGATTCCCGAGTTTAGGCAGCTTTTCCAATTCGACTGTGAATTAGGTCTTCTAACTTTCAAATATCCTCGCCTCTTGTTATTTTGCCCGTCTCCAAGGGGTGGTTTGGGCCTCTCTTTAATGTTGATCAGGAATTCTTCATATTATGATAGGTTTCTATAAATCTCCCGGTATAGCATTGTTGGGACACTTTTATTTTGTATGAAAGTGTATGAAAAAGATAATCGAAGGTCGATCTCACCCGAATACGACAACTGAATCCTATTGCGGAGCAGCCGTTTGGCTTTAATACCTCGTTCCGGTCGGTGCAGTCGGCGAGAAATCCTCCCCCG